GTTGTTGTTGCCTTTGCTATTGCTTTTTGTTTTTTTTAATAATTTTTGCTTTTTTCTTTCTTCCTTTTATTAAAATCACTCACATCAAAATCAATGCATTGTACAAGATTTCATCGCAATCTAAGGCATGAGAAGAAAACAAAATATAGATTTGGAAACAAATTGATTTTTTACATTTTTACAAAAAACATTATATATCTATTTTTACTTATTTACTTTATTAATATTATTAATATTATTAATTTTTCATATGTTTTCGTATATTTGTTGACTACTTTTGTTTGCTTTCTTGATTAAGCTGTTGAACCTAAAAAAAAAAAAAAAAAAAAAAACAACAACAACAACAACATTTAATTTGCGGAAATTCTCTAATTTTCACACATTAACATTGTATGAATAAGTACCGTAATATTGGAAGTTAACGGATATTTTAAATTTAAACCTCCGCACACAAAGGTTTCAATGCAACTGAAACTGAAAGCATCATCCGCTGACGGCAAAACAACAATAAAAATGAAATGAAAAACAAACCACAAATGCAATAACACCAACAACACTAATAATAAAATAAAAGTTTGACAACGTGCGATATTTGGTTTACAACATGTTCGGGTTCTACTAAGTTTGATATCAAACATTTAAAAATTTCCTTACACGCGTTCCAATTCTTGTTGTTGGTTTACATTGTTTGCTAATAAAATTGGGGTTAATATCACGCTAAAGACCATACAAATAAAATGGAGTAAAAAACAAATATATATATAAAAGAGTTTTAAGTATTTTATTTAATATATAATTGAAGTTCGTTTCGAATGTTTTTCTTCGTAATATAACTAGAATGTTTGACAACGTGCGCGGTATTTGACTTACAACATGTTCGCGGTGTTCGTGTTTGATATCAAGCTTCCGAAAATTTCTTTTTACAATTGCATTTGTTTTTTTTGTTTCCAATATCGTTAATTTTCATTGTTTGCTAATAGATTTAGGGCAAAAAAAAAAAAAAATAAATACAATTTGCGGCCAATATCGCTATAAAATTATATTAAGCAATGCAATAAAATAATATTTAAAAGAATTTTATTTAATTTAAAAGATATTTACGACATTTTATTTGACATATAATTGAATTTCCTTTCACATGTTTCCGTTGTCTTCATTTCATCCTTTACTACTATGAACATGTTTTGTGTAGGTTTTGCATAATTTAATGTAAAGTTATACCTATTAAAAAAAAAAAAAAAATAAAAAAAAAAACAAAGTTTCAACTAAAACAAACGTATATTTTATAGGCCGTTGCCTACGTTAAGGCTTTCACAAGTACCTCACATAAGGTTGCCAACGGCTTTAAACAGAGAAAAAATGCCAATTGTCTCCTTATATTGATTGCAGGTATGCAGGTAGGCCGCAAAATTCAAGAGACTAATAATCTATATAAAGAAATAGCATGGCCATGCACGCATACTTACGCGCTTATAAGGCACGAGCGCGCAAAGAAACGAAATTAAAACATTCCTTTGCTTCTCTGGTAATCTTGTGAGACAAGGTTACATTAAATTTACGGGGATATATCGAATACGCTGAATAACTTAAGATAGATCCATCTATTATTATACCATCCGGTGCAGACTAATCGACCTAATAAGTTTAAGCATCCATATCCATGTATCTATGTATATGTACGTGCAGCACAAGGATTGCAAATTTTCGAATTATTTTGGGGAAATATTTTGGCTCAAGCATTGAAAATTAATTGGACGGCATCATTTTGAACGTGTGTTGAAACAATCGGTTTATCGAAAATTTCTTACCGCAATTTGAAAAAATGCTTTAAATCCAAGTATTTACATTTTTTAATATTTCTTTTTGAAAAATTGTTCAAAAGTCACTGTCATGGATGCTTTTTTTCTAAGGTTCCACCAACCTGCTAATATAGAATAAGCCTTTACAGTCCACCCTGATGTGATTTGCTTCAGAATAACAATAAAGACATATATAAACTTTCTCCGCTAAGTTTTTGTTAAGAACGGGTTACTTTTAGGTACATTCTCCTAAAAAGTAAACCCTTATATGTATAAAGCATAAATTTCGGTATTCCAGTCTACAAATCGATGAACAGTAATAGGCCGTTCGATAAGAAGAGACAAAGCACAGTTAACGCAATTAAATTTGTAAAACACCTTAAGTTCGATCAAAGTTTCCGAAAAGTTTTCATGGGAACAAGATATAGGTTTGGCGATTTTATAATGAAAATATTCATGGGGCTTAGCAAGGGTTAGCTGTTTAACTTTATTTAGCTTAGTCTTCGCGTCGCATTTCTTGTACAAGTTCTAGGTTTGTGTCAAACGAAACAGTTTAAGCTAAAATCCAGTTTTCCTTTCCAAAATTTCTTGGAAAATATTAAGTAAAACTTATGCGATCCAAACGTGTTCGCAATTTTTAAATGAATTTAAACCACAAAATAGGATTGTTTTTGAAAATAAAATAGCGCAATGCATCTTAAATGCATGTTAAATGCAAGATCTAACACAACTCTCCAGATCGTGAATCGCATTGAATATTTTCCCAAAGTGCATTTTATCGCGACACTTCTGTTTGTGATCTCTTTACAAAGCATTCGAATCCACATCTTATCTTAAATTTATCACACGTTGTAAAAAGCTTAACAATACCAGAGTTTGGCAAAACGGTTTAGTCAGGTTAAACGATGGCAAATATTTTAGACGCTTTACAAAGGCAGCAAACAATGTCTACATAAGAAAAGAAAGTATAAATTAGAAAGTTAAAACGTTGTAAGCGGCAAAGCCCTACACAGTTTCAACCCAATAACATTTTTCACATAGTTTCGCCACAAAATATTGAAAGTAAACGTGCTTTCCTTGAGAAGCCAAATAAACGAGCGGATGAAAATGGCAACTGAAGTTGTCCAAATTAAATAGAAGTGAGATGTTTGTGGAGGACTTGTTATTTTTAGAAGATATACTTTGTATAGGTTTACAAGAATCCTTACATAGAAGGGATTGAGAAACAGGAAATTTGTGCCAAAATTTTCTTCAATAGATTTTGGGATCGAATTTTATTACAAAACACTAAAAATTGGAGCCTGTTGCCGTATAAAGGCTTATTTGGGCTGAAATGATACCATCCAATCCAATTCTCCCGATTGAGTCCAAAAAACATGGACACACATGGCATAGAAATGCGGCCACCCATGTTTAAACCAATTCAAAAAGTGCTTCTGAATCGCTTCGTCTAATAAACGGTAATCTTATAGCAACTTTTGTATAATATATTTTCTCAAACTCAACTTGCGCTTACCACATATACTGTACGGTGTATATTTAGAAAAAAGAAACACTTCACAGGTATTCGATTGAATACACAATACTTGGTCTCTCTCTTTCTTTACAAATTTATTATAAATGTCATGAACAACATTGAATAAGTCATCCACTATTTTAGTTTCGTCATAAACTTGGTAACCTTCAAGGAGATTTGAAAACAAATTCAAATAATATAATTCCAAGTAAGTTTGAATTCACTGTCTGGTCTGTTAACGTAATGCTTGCAATAAATTCATTTAGAAAGAAAAACATTGCGATATCGCAAATAAACTAAACTTGAGCAAAACCGATACTCAATAGCTTGCAATCGTCTAATAAAATCTCACAATCAAAAAATGTAAAATATATAATGCAGTTGTCATACAAGGGCTGACCTTTGATGAGAACCCTTACAAAGGAAGGATCTGACAAATAGACTTATGTTAAGCTCAAAACACGGTGTCGTCCCATTCTTATCTCCCACAGGCACTGGAGTATCCACATAGTAAATTCTACCACAAATGTCGTGAAAATCTTCCAGAACGTTACATGCATATTTCACTTTATGAGTCATAGGCAATTACTGGAAAACTAACATATTTGTACGCATTCTAAGGACTCGGCAAATGTTGAAACTCGAAACATTTAACATCTGCTGACGCATTTAATTCATGCCCTTCCATATATTCCTATTAAAGTTTATTTAAGTTTTTGCTACATTATAGGCTCAATACTTTTTCGATAACGTCATATGTAAAATTATATTTTTAGTTTACTACACAATTGTTCATGTATAGGAAAGGAAATGTACAGATTTTGCAATATAATACCAGACAAAACGACCGCCATAAAAATGTTGCTTATACGACCTGGTGAGGAAAACTTTCTTCATTACTAATATTATTATTATTATTGTTCGTATGCATTCTTCTTCTTTTTCTTCTTCTTGTTCTTTTCTATATAGGGGGCATTTTATTTCACAGATAAGAATAAATACATTTTTCTTGTTCTTTTTTAATGATTTTTCTTCACATATCATTGTCAATATCAGACGACGATAATAAAAGTTAAAGTGTATATAAGTGCTTATCGTATATGTGATGACGGAACTTTTGTTCCCTGCTATCTCACACAACTTTTACAATGAAGTCTAAAAAGACAAAGTATGCGTTGTTGTTAACTGACATTGGAATATATATTTGAAACCACAAGTCAACCTGACAATCAGTTGAACATTCAATTGTTCAACAATTGATTTTCAAACATTGTTCAGATGACCCTTAACCACAATTGTGAAGACTTCTTAAAAGCACATCAACATTTTATTTGTTTGCCGTGACGGACATTGAGTGTGCGTAGGGGCATATAACGATAATAATTAAAGTCATCATTGCCACCAGAGAATGGTAGATGCAAAACTTAAGATCTTTGCAGCATCTATTAAAAATAATGTCACGAAACCCAAGTTATTTGTTTTACAACTTTTTATTAAATTTTTGGCAAGAAAATAATTTCGAATAACTTCTCTATCTCTCTCTTTTTTTTTTGATTCTTTCTGTTGAATACAATTGAAATACGTTAATATCAACACAAATGCAAGAAAAATAGAATAGCGAAATAACTTGTTTTACCAACCTTTTGCGTTTTCATGTTTCATTTCATTTATAAACTCTTATTAACCTAAATAGTGACAGCATTCTTGACTATCCATTCACGTAGATCGGCAATGTCAGCATAAACTCCAGGATAGTCAGGCAAAGCGCAACCATATCCCCAAGAGACGATACCAACCATAAGCCCTCCCGACACTAATGGGCTACCGGAATCACCATAACAATGATCCTTCCCACTAGCATAAGTGCAAATCATTGAAGGTTTAACGTACAGTCCGTGACCATATCTCGACGAACTGCATTTGACGCGACTAACAATATTAACATGTATTGCTCTTAGCTCAGATGGTCTAGAAAATTTGCCAACATCTGTTCTACCCCAACCAGTGACAACTGCGGCAGCGTTATCAACAGGAGCGACAGTAGCCAGTTCAATGGGTTTAACGCTGGAGCTACACGTTAAATTGGTGGCCAAACGAATAATAGCCACATCGTTGACTTGAGTAAGATTATCATAACTTGTGTGCCACTTAAGAGCGGCTACCGCAACTAATGTGCCACCCGAATTCCAATACGAAGACCCAACACGAACTTTTAATGCGGATATTTTAACGGCTTGTAGGCAATGAGCAGCAGTTATAATAGTGTTTTCATTGTGAACAGCTCCACCACAAAAATGTTCGCCGCTCCTTTGCAGAGAAACTTGCCAAGGGAATGAGCTTATGTTGACCGCTGTACCACCAATAATTCTTCCATCGGTTTTTGATATATTAGCTTTCGCTCTAGTTGCAGTTAAAACCCAAACTGCAACTAATAGTAAGATCGCAACGTTATGCATATTAATGGGTTACTAAATTTCTGTTCAGTAAATATTGCTTTTTATAGATACCGTCAGAGACCAGCAATAAATTAGACGAAATTTGAAAAAGTTTTATGGTTTTGATAAGATGTGTTTGGTGCCGATTTCGATGACGTATGCAAAGAATCTTAATAATAATCGCAATGCATAGCATATCCACCAACCAAGTTAAAAATAGAAAGTGCGATTCGCTTATCGCGATTAGATATCATTTCAAAATTCAATTTTAATTAATTTATTTTTTGGCTAAATATATGCACATACACATACATATACATATGCAAAATGCGATTAGAAGGGAAGAAAGTCTACTTTTATACGCTTTTATGCTTCTTCTCTTTATCTTTTTGCCTTAGTTTATTGGAATCGCATAAAAATCTCTGGTTTCATCGTTACTCAGTGCAGCAAAGGATGTTTAAACCATTTTAAAAAATTTTCTACTCAACTTCGAAGGAGGAGAGGTATATGCAGTTTGTCAAAACGCTTGCAACGTTTACAAAAGAAAGCTTTCCTAAAAAGCATAGTCCTAATCGCCAAGAGTAAAAAGAAATCGGATTCAAAATTAAGACGTTTGCGGTTCAAGTTAAACTAAACTAAATTGCTCTGGTGAGTTCTTAGCTTTAGCCACTTCTTCATCTAGCTTCTAATCGGTAAAAGATTTCTTTTCTGTTAGACTTGGTTGGTCTTCTCTTCTTCTCAAACGTGCTTGAACTGCATGCAACTTTAAGTACGTACTGCTGTCTAAAATAGCTTGCAATCTTCTTGAAAACATTTCGGTTAGGAGAAAATGTGCACATATATCAAATAATAATACAAATGACGTGTAAAAGACTTTTTTATCCCCATTTAAGCCATTGATAATAGGATATAATATCTATGTCTTACCCTTTACTCGTTACCAACAGCGCTTTCTTGCATATCACTTAAAATATCTTGTGGATGGAAACAGAAAGTTTCGCTAAGCGGGTGCAGTAATATGCCGTTAACATTGACACTAATTTCAGTGATTCCGTTAAACGATTTCACTTGGAAACAAAGGCGTTTAAATGTGGCTGGTAGTGAGATAAAATTTTATTAAAAAAATTATTGGCTTTTTAAGAAATAAGTCAATAGGGAATAACGAAAGAGATAAACTCATGCATTTTAAGGCAATAAAAACCGGAATCCAAATCGGGACTTCAACTGAAATCACGGAACTGCTACAAATCATTCAAACCACCGTCAGCGCCATCGCCTCATCAGTTAAAAATTCTATAGAAACCATTAAGAGCATTTAATATTAAAATTTTCGTAAAGAACCAACTGAACGACAGTAGGGAAGTATAAAAGCTTATCACTCGATTTTTTCAGCAATGAAAACTTGACTTGAGAGGTCTGCAACATAATTCTGACTTAGCACTTAAAAAAAGATTTCTTTTTTATTTCCAGCTAATTCGGTTTTACATCAAGTAGAAGATGTTACTAAGAAAAATATTACCCACTTTTGCAACAAGTGAGGAAACTATAAAATACATATATTACGCCTTTTGAATATGTGCGTATTGCAGTTATCAAAATTTTATTAGAACTATCAAAATTTGAAAAACACATTTGGACTTTAATATTTATAAGGGATAAGTTAGCAATGTTTATGACGTCTTATCATGCTTTGCATTTATAACTTTTTTCATTCATAATTTAGCGTTTCAGTCATTGAGAAATAAATGTTTAATATTAGGACAATTTTACCTTAATTAGTTCCTCAGATTGTGACGACACACATGCTACTCGGAGAGTAAGTCATATATACGGTAGAATAAGTCATATATACGAGAGAGTAAGTCATATATACGGGAGAGTATTTCATTAATATCGTTATCTGTTCTTTACTGTTCCATATAAAGATAACTATCGTAAATAAATGCTCGTTTGACAAGAGCGCAATATCGTTATTTTCATTCGTCATTCTTCAATTGATGTTCTAGCGAGATATTCTAACGAGGGAAAGAGGAAAGCGGATGCACACGAATATATCGCAACAAAATAGGAAACTTCGAAAATATAAATTTTTATTACATAAGAAAGGCTGAGCTGAAAGGCGGGCAACCCTTCGTAACGCTCCAATATTCACTTGATATACATATATATAACTCATTCTTAATCGCTGTCAGATTTTTCAACGACTTAAACATGTCCCCTTGTAAAGCATTGATAGTCTTGAAATCGGAAATCAAAATATATATATGTCATTTTCAAATTTTTTTACTAATTTGTAGGCGATAACTTCATTTTAACCGGAGATACTATGCAGTTGGGTAGACGAACAGATGGTCGGACGAACATGGTGAGGTGTTATTCCGCTTATCCTTCGGCGATTCAAACTTTAATAGATATTTGCTAAGCAAGACACCGGAATATAAAAAAATTCAAAAAAGCCCGTAATTTACCGAAAAGGGTTCACTGACGCGCTTTTCTATGCGTTACAAACGAGAGGGAAAATATAACGCACTTCCATCCTTCGATAGCAAATACATTTTTAATATCTTTCAAATGCTCATCATAAGTATGTGGTCATAATAGTGATGGACTGCAGTTATTACAGCTTTTACATTGTTGACTTCATTGTTCAGGATTCATGTAGCCGTTTACGTAGTTTAGGTTTTTAATGTTCGCAGGCATTTCAATGTTTGCCTTAAACCACAAGTGAATCGAATAATCCAGATAAACATTCAAACAATTGTTTATCAATTGATTTTCATATATAACTCACAAAACACTCAACCACAAATGTGAATAGTTCTCAGAGTCTCTTCGACAAATTATCAGCATTTGTATGTAGCCTGTTGTTACAAGCATTAACTGTTATGGGCCTTCGACAATAACAATTGAAAAACAAAAATATTATGATTCTATACTTTTTTTACGAAAAATGCAATGCCATGAAACGATGCGGCGAGTTGTGAAAAAAAAAAGAATGATCGAACATCCACGTTCTAAAGCAATGAAAATATTACCCATAGTATGTGGATAAGTAGAAATCGTCCGTCAATTAAATTTGTTCATTTACCCAAAATTTTCCATTTCCTTCTTTTTTTTTTATTATTATTATTATTATTTTAATTTTAGACTAATGAATTGAATTCTTAGACTAAAAAAAGAGACATTGAGCACTAGCAACACAGGCTATCGGCTCTCCTTTTTTTTTAATATTATATCGCATAATTAAATTTAGAATTAGCTTCGCATTTACGAAAATGTATGCAAAATTTCCAATATTTGCAGTTAGTATTGCCGATCAACAATCAGATGATCAGTCATTTAGATAAATAATTGCAACGAATGCATCATGTTCTGTATGTGTATGATCCGAACTTTTTATTACCCGTCGTAATGTTATTTACGGCATTTGATTATACTCTGAAGCTAAGATCTGTGCACTCTCGCTATATGTTGTAGATCGTACCTTGTATATTATGTATATTTTTTGGATCGGTGACACTTAATGAATAAGTGACTATGCTCATCTTTGCGGCATTCCTATCTATGCGGGTGATTTATGTAAATAAGAAGACTACAGCTTTTTGTCCGGAGGCGAACAAAATTTATTGGATTACCAGACGTAATGCAGCTTCTCTTACGGACTTAAACCAAATTATCCTTTTGTGAACGAAAATGTTGACGAACGAAAGATTTCTAATTCGTTAGTAAGAAAAGTGTACACGTCATCGGCAGCTGCAAGCACTCTAGTTGTTACAGCAATTCCGTAATCCAAAGCTTCCAAGTTTACACGACATCGAGGACCATAAATCGGCAACTGATATTCGCAAATAGGAGCTTGCGAGAGAATAATTTCGGTTTTCTTAAGTACTTTCTTATTTCAGTTTTTAAAGAGTATCTCTCTGTACCTTGCTTCATGGGCAAAATTTATTAAACTGCGACACGTAAAATATCATAGTTGCCTTAAATGTCTACGCGCGAAGAAATCGGCCTTAGTCACATTTTCTTCAAAGACCATTCCTCTATATGTGGTAGTACCGGTTTTTAAGAGATAACGATCAAAACCGATCACTGCAATTCTACGCATACGTTCTAAGTCCCAATGAACACTTTGTTGAGAGTTTCGATAGTAATTTTATCTTTCACTTAATATACATAAGATGTCGCAAAATCTACGCAATATTTAAATTAAGTGGAAAACAGATTTTTTTTTTCAGTCATAATTTTTTTTTTTTTGAAGCATAATGTAGATGGTATAGGGTTATGTGTGGAATAGCACATCAAAATTCTGACCACCAAAACATGGGAATACACGACCAAGGAATATCTCATATATTAAAATCTCAATTGTTTCACGAGATGTACGGCATGTGGCATGGTCTCGTTGAAACCATATGTCGTTCATTTCAAGATCATTCAATTAATGCAGAAAGAACTGGCTTATCATAGCGTGATATCGAACACCAATATCTGTGATGCATTGCTAACACTTTACCGCACAAAAGGGCGGCAAATTCAAATCTTGCGCAAACTTTGGGCCACCCTAATGTAACTCCGCATTGGTTTGTCAACAATGTAAGGGGCAAAAACATCTGCGAATGATATTCCCGCCACCTCGCGGCACAAATATGCGCATTCTTAATTCAATGCAATATTGTTGAAAGCTTATATATCACACCAGGTTAGATAAAATAGCGTACGACATTTCTTTGCAAACTTTGAATGTGTTTTTCGAATCTAAAAATCTTCTTCTTATAGGTATAAAGGATGATAGCGGTCGTCTCAACATTAGCGTTTGCACCGAAAGGGCTGTATCTTCGCAAGCATCCTAACGTTGTCCGCCAGAATTCTTAAGTGCTCCAAGTAAATGGTTGTGTTTTGTATTTCTCTAAAATTGCTAAGATTCGAAGGTGAGCGCGTGCATGCTATAGTAAATTTTCCTTAATCCGTTAATTGTGAAATGTAGCTCGACAAACGTTAACAAGATTTCATATTAATTTATCTACGCTGCACTAGGCCTGCACGGCACTATGCCCAAAATTTTCAATTACTTCAACTTAATTAAGATATTATTTATTGACATTTATTCAAATGTTTATTAAATATTTGAAAATAATTGAATCAAATATTTATTATAAACGTTAAAATTTACATATATATTTATATATGTTTATTTGTATTTAGTTCGAGCTAAAGTGAACTGGTATGAAACCATTCATCAAGTTTAAATTATATAAAATTATTATTATTATTATTATTATTAGCCAGTGTTGAAAACGTGTTTACGAAAGTAGTTCAGTTTATCGTTAAATTACTGACGAGTGATTTAATACAAATTTAATTTAACCCCAAGCTCTTTGGATGTTGACGGGTAATTTTGTTGGAACAGAGGAGGCGATAACGGACAGCAAATCAGTAAAGCACACACTTGAACACATTGATGACGGAAAGCAGTTATTGGCTTATGCTTTCATAGCGTAATAAATTGTATAAAATATATGAAAATGCAAAATGGCATTTATTGTTAGGTCTGGCATGTCTTTATCATTTTTTTAGTTGAATTGTGAAAATATAAAATTTAATTGCTTATAGGAACAAACTACTGCATACGTAAGCTGTAAGAATCCTCAAACCTCTTCGATCCATCTCCGACTTAAAAACGAGTTTAGTTCTCCTTAAAGAGTAATATGTATCCGGTACAACTGCAGTTATTTTCTAAAGACAACAAGAAACTTAAATTTTAAAATTTATAATAAAAAATCAACAAAAAACCTTTAAAACCCTTTAAAGGATCTTATTTCCCACAGAAAAGCGTGCGCTCAGTAGTTAGAAGCCATAATATTTATAGCATAGTACGTAACATATAATATATATAGTGTATAACTAGCACATATAACGTGTTGTGAACGATATAAGATATCTAAATTCTGGTGGAAATGCTTCTGGAGGTGTGCTAAAGTCAAAAATTCCTTTTCATCAAGAATTGCTTATTGGATTTCCATTCGACCAAACTATCCTATGATTGGCGTTGCACTGAAAGAAAGAAACACTGCCTTTAAGGTGGAGCTTTTATTTACTACAAATTGAAAACAAGCTAATTCCAAGGGGCCAACCTAGGGCCGATTTATAGCTGTCGATGTCGAAACAACACAGTTTTAATTTCAAGCAGTAGTAAGAAGAGCACATTTTCTATAGATAGCTGCATGGTCGCTACTCGTTATAGCGGATTTACTCGATATGGGTAACTATAAACGGGCGTTGTAAGGCATATTAAAATTATATTTATGTGTACTACAGAATAATAATGAATGTTGCCCTAAAATATTATATTGCCCGAAAAGCAGTGCATTACGTTGAACTATAAACATAACACCATAACTAAATGCACTTTTCCACTACGTAAACATAAGCTGTAAATATGGAGGTGTTGACTTTTGTACGTTTTTAGGAAAAATTACTTTTAGTTATTCATTTTTTTATTTTTTGTTTATCCTGAGCAATTAACTTTAAAAACTTTTATTGTTCAACACCAGTTTAGTAGAAAATTTAAAATGAAAAAAACCGAAAATATATAAGGAAAAGCAGTTTTTGTCTAAAGTAAGCAAAAGCAAGAAAGAAGAAAAATGAATGCGAAAATTTCTCTTGCTTTGAGACGAATTTCGGACGCTCTTCTTAGCTAAGGGGGAGGAAGAAAATGTCAATTCTTTTGCCACTTGAAAAAGACTTACTCTATCTTGCCGATAGAGTAAGTGATGTAAAGATGAGATATTAAAGGTGAGTAAAAATAGCTTTTTGATTGACCTGGATAATAAAGGGAAAAATGATCTAAAGTTCTTTGTCAGCTATAGTTACTACGAATTATGAAACTTTTATGCTTAGCTCTTGATTAGAAGACCGCTTAGCCTTTTTAGGTTATGGCGAGAAATCAGACAATCTTGCAATTTCATCAAATAAGCCAGCCATTAAAAAGGAAAAAAAAAAAAATATGTCAACTACCAGCCGGTTAAAAGTGTTTAAATTGTTACATATTCCAGCTTTTTTGCAAGTAGATTCCGAGACTCGCTTCTTCCTATAGAGGGTATAAAAACACGCACTAACATTTTCGCAATCTTTCGAATGCGCGTTACAAGAACATAATAGGACTACTCTTATACAATGGTTATGTGTTTTTAATGGCCTTGAGTGTATGTGGATAAATAGTTTATATACTTGGCATACATGTAATTGTAGTCTTGACAGAATTATGGCACACTCATGCTGCTATTCTTTCGGACTCTGCTACTGTATGTTAAAGTCTTTATATACGATATGTTGTTTTTGGTATTGTTACCACAATACAATTTACATAAGTAGATATAAAGCACATGAAAATTGCTAAACGAGAATTCTGTTCACCTTGCCGTCTTGCTTATCATTAAATAAAAAGGTTTTTTTTTTTCATTTTATGTATAAAATAAAAAAAAATTAATTTTATATAAACAGACATTTTCGTTTATTAAAGACAAAGTTAAAAGACGACACAAAATGATGTCGGTATTGGATGTCACTTAGCTTGAGTGTTACGATAGACCAGATAATTAAAACATATGCAAGTCAATAAGTTCCGAGACCGACAATTAAATGCCACTGTCTCTTATTAAACATTACCAACCGTTGAACAGCAAGTATCCAAATTGTCTGTTACGAGTGATTTGGTGATAACGAGATCACTACATTTTATATTTCCAGAACAATGAAAAATCCGAATTTCGTGAGTTTGATCAAACATATGAAAAATACCGCTTAAAACCTTTCTCTTTGCTCGAAAAGAGTAAGTTAATGGTGGTTTTCAGATTTCAAACGAAGTTGCATGGATAGCGCCAATATTGAAAGTATTAAGCGCCAAAGTTCTTGAAAAAATTTTAATTTATTTTCGATAGTCGAAAAGCAAGGTTTCAAGAAACAGCTGACATCCTAAAATCCTAGAAACCGTTATTGTATAAAAACTTAGGCATAAGAAAACTGTTTTCTAAATGAATGCCGCGTTCACTTTAAATAAAACAAAATCCTGAACAAGCAAAGTTCCTTGAACTCAATTTTCAACTACTGCCCCTGTTTGCATCTCTCAAAAGAATGCTGCAAAGAAAGAAATTTCGATCGGCTGATGACCGAATCGTTTCTCGATGCATTCGATATCTTCTTTGAAAAAAAGATATCGAATTGTTAGAGAAACAAAGTGAACCGTTTTTTAACATTCTTACAAGGAACTATGTTGATGAACAGACTCGTATTTTACAAGAAAGGAAAAACAAAGAAGAGTTTTGCTTTTTCTTACAGAGTACTGTGACTTATTGATCGACATGTTGAACCGTGAAATCATCAATCAATTAAGAGCACAACATGTACGGTAATGTATTTAATCCTCGCCGCCAGTCAAATGTCATGAATTTAAGATTGCTTTCCATTTTCTATTAAAATTCTATTTTGCCTGTTATATAAACACATTGCTCTTCACATCTTATTAGCGACAATATACATTTTATTAGGTTTTAATTCAAAAATGGGATTAGAATTTGTTCGGGAAAAATTCTATACTCAAAGAAAAAATAAACTAATTGTTTGCTTAATCATAGATTATGCCGGAGAGGAATCGGATTTTTCTCTTTACTCAATAGTACTCATCAGTACGTGCGACATGGTAACAGTCAGAAAGAAGTGGGGAAAGAGAAAGGAAGGCGGAGTGTGGCTCTAGCCGAGTGGATGTATGCTCAAGTTGAGTTAATGTAGCAAATCCCCTACCTACCATTTAAATAAAGTAGATCTCATATTGATTTTCATTTTTCTTCTTTTTCTTCTTCTTCTTCTAGAATGCAGCAACTCACTGTACTGCATACATTTTTCGAATGTTTTAAGCACTATGTTAAGACAATGTTGATAGTTGCCTTGTTTCGGCAAGTATAAGTAAAGGATAAATGCATATAGAAAGGTAAACTCTCAGAGATAACGTTACATAAAAATAATGTTATTAAAATCAATGTAAAACAAAAATTTCTCTGGAATCAAAAGTTTCCATTGCAGGCAGTGACCATTAAAAGTCCATTTGTTTACTTTATATTTACCCTTTCAGATGTTATTAAGCATTCGTTAACGAAGACGAGTACATCCGACATAAACAGAATCATAAATTTTTATGCTGCAATCGCCGGAGGGCGAGGGATGTGTTCATTTTGCCAAAACCCAGCAGAGTGCTTGATAACATAAGACGGGAACACCTCCTTTTTCGAAAGCAAAACAATACAGTTTTTTTGCTCTTTACTTACACTTAACTAGACTGGGCAAAGCGGTAAAATTTTGCACGCACATGTATTCAACAGCTGGTCATCCAGCATCGGCACAAAAATGGGAAAAATCTACGTCTCACACACGCAATATCGAAATTTCATTCTTATGTCGAAACATTTGTAAAACCCTAAAGGCAATTTGGGAGGCTCTCTAAAGTATTAGTGGTCAGTATTAAATTTTGAATCGATCTAGGTATGTGGGTCTCTCCGTCTACTTCTCTCCTCCTATCCACCTGTTTATTAGCCTTTGGCGGGAAAAATGAAATAATCGAGTTCATCGACTTTAATGAAAACATCGAAAGTTACTGCACGTAGATTGATAATGTAAGCAGTAGAACATAAAGTACAAAATTGGCGAGTTTGCTCGTAACTCGTAAACTGCAACAATAATTATTTTCATCGGCATGAAGTCTTCATATTGTATGTATTAAAATATAAAGATGGAGCGTATAGAGGATTCAGTCACAAGCGAGTACAATTTTCTTGGTTGTTAAGTGATAGGAAAGAATAATAAAATATATAATAAAAAAATACAGAGTCAGAGATTTTAATCATCTAAAGAGTTTCAATTATTTGAAGGAATCAAGCAAAGAGTGTCTTGTTACATCAGAATTCACTTTAACGATCGCAGACATATGCGTTGCTGTCTTTTTAGTCCATTTTCTTCATGCTCATCCGTAAAGCTTAACGTAGGTAGGTACATGCATTCATTCTAGAATGGAGAAGACTGATGAAAGCTTTCAAATAAGTGCAGTAAGCTCACGGTCTTAGAACTTTGTTTAATTACATATTATGTTAAACGTAGTAAATAAATGCCTTAAATAAAGATTAAAGATTATTAAAAATGGCACAATTTAAAATTTTGTTATAATTATATATTGTTGTGTTAAAGCAAACTAACTTGGTTCCTACGACTTCAACCCTTCGTTTAGTAACAAATAATCTGCAAAGTTTTCTTGAGTATAAATGAAACCTTTTAAAACTTTTTCATAAAGTTTAACTGAATTCAGCTAACCTGTCCATAAGACTAGAATAAATAAACCAAAAGAATTAAATACAAACATGAATAGACATATATACATACCTGGATAAATATATGTATATATATTATATTAATACATTTACTTTCACGTATGGAGAGAATTTATTAAAACGAAGCAGAAAAAACTTCAGCACTTATAGTAGAACATGAAAAGTTAACCCGTACCACTTAAGCTCTTTTCAATTATTGCAGTCAGTTTACAAAAGTTATAGGTGCAAGTAAGAACATAAAGTCATAACAAGATTCATGTCGTACTCAAATTATATTATGAGGAAGCAGCTTTCAAGTGCAGGGAATATTTTCATGTTCACAGCAAACAAAAATGACGATATTAAGTTTGGTATTCTGTTTATAGCAATCAAGATAAGAGTCGATAAACACTTCATGTGTATGGATGTGTGTGTGTGTGTGTGTGTGTGTATTCGTCGTTATTGTTTATTCCTGAAATGATTTTAATGAAATTGAGCCATTACTTCTATCATGAATTGATGAAAGTTTCGCAAAAATGTACAGCCCAATACGACTGCCGATCGCTCGATCAATCTGCTTGTCTTTTTAGCTGTTTTATGGCTGGCTATAAAAAGAAATCAGGTCAGATTGAAAATATGAGCACAATTTTCGGAAAATTACGCCGGCGTTATATGTTATTTAGCTTGACTATGGAGGAAGCTTACATAATTGCAACATGCAAGTCCTTAAGGTCCGGGATAACTAGGTTTTATTATGCATATCCAAGTCGGCTCAGTGCAATTGTCAATCCGTCGTTTGATTATCCATTTAAATTTAAAATCAAAAAATAAAACATAGAACTTTGGTCGTGCGTGTTCCAATCGCAGGTCGCGATTTTTCAGATATTTTGATCAAATTTGGTACACATACATAGTTTGGCCCAAGGACGAATGCTATTGAAAATAACTCGGTCAGGTCCATTTTCTCTACCACTCCCCACATAACGAGTTTTTAGAAAAGTGCAATTTTCAAAATTTCTCGCCGAAGATGTCTAAGTAGTAATACCTTGGCATTCCAAATTACTGTGAAAACTTTGGACCGACTGAACCCGTTCTCATATAACTCTTCCTATGGAAATGGCAACTCTATATAACTTTTTTTTGATGAAAATTTTTTATGATAGTAATTAAATAAAAAAATTAAGCTGACCTAATTGGAACCACGTGGTTCGATTTCTTGATCCCACTCCGCATAAGCTGTCTCTTGAGTAGTAAGTCCTTCGGAAAAAGGGTTAATCTTTAATATTTTATGATAAAAATTAATTCGCAGTAGCGTTTCAGCAAAAAATTTGACGATAGTGAGTTTGGATCACATAGATCTCTTTCCTTGGGGAGAAGCTAAGGTTCTAGTATACGGACTTTCATGACAATTATGCGTAAAAATAATGTGTACGTTTTGGAGTATTGCTATCAAAAGGAGCGAAAAACTGTACTAGGCGAAATGATGTAGAGTGTGAAATAGTCGGCATTGCGCGACTACAATATTCTTACTTGTTTTTAAGTAATTTCTTTTAAAAAAACATGAAATGATAGTTAAACAAACATGGTTTATGATTGCAATTCGCTTTTCTATCTATATACAATATATCGTAAAGATGGTGTAAATATTTGGAGATCCTTTAAAAGCTGGCAACATTTGTTCTAAGCATCAACCAGAGTCCTTCAACTTTTTGAAGGCTTCGCTAGAATTACTCACGCAAAGCGTACGCATATTCTGTCCTGCTGCTTACGATTCTAAACTATTTCGAGTTTATTTCGTTTTACACATAAAGAAACCAATAAAACTGTTAGTACTGGAAGCAATGAAATGATAAACTAACCAAAAAATTGGCAACTGTATGAGACAGAGCGACGACGTTGGCTAACGCACTAGAAAATTAAATGCATTTTATGTGTTAGCCAATAAAAAAAAAAAGAAAAGAAAATACATTTAGAGAGTAACGGTAGAACCTCATAAATCTTGCACTTTGCAAAAAAAGAAAAGAATTTTTTGTTAATTGATATAAACAATTTCGCTTTGAAAGTTAAAAGTCGTAAGTTAATTGCGGACAAATTTTTCAAGACAAACATCTGGATGAACATTAAAATAAACAAGTGTAGGAATAGTGAAAAGACTCCCAAAGCAAAGAACAACAAATGCAAATAAATATGCGAAAGAAATGCTCCTTATGTTTGAAAAAACTTCTCTCTCTCTCTCTCTCTCTCTCTCTCTCTCTCTCTTTTTCTATTAAAAACATATATAAAAAATAAACACAATATAGGCAATAAAATCAAAATTCTGGATCAGTTTAACGGTGCCCATATACCTCTGAACCCACGATCCTGTATGTCTATGTTTTTATTTTTTCTGAGGCCACCTTACGGTTTCTACGGCCTTTTCTGTTAATGCTTTAGCTCCTGTGCCCGTACGATTGTAGCCCGATGAAAATGATTAGCCGAGACGTTTGAATTATTTTTTGGACAAATGATCAACATAAAAACTCAGTATTAACCTCAGCAAACTGAGACTGATAGAGTAAGAAGGGAAAGGCATTCCATTGCCCATATTGCTCTTACATTGGTAACTTCCACGAATAATATAAGCGGTTTTAAGAAAAACTTATGCATATAGAATATACGGAATTGAAATATAAAACGGGACATATCGTTAGGATAAAACATTGATATTTCGAACGTAGCGTTAGGTTATCTACGGTTAGACGGCGTGTGCAATTTGCTAGACGATCAGAGCAGCCGGAATAAGCCGACATGTCAAACACCGGGCACGATTTAGTACTAACAACAACGGGTGAAAAATTTAAGACAAAGGGTACACCGTTGCCATATAAAAAAGCAAATAGTAAATTTTTATGCAGTGACGTATAAAATTTCTAATTGTTAGGAATAAAAAATTAATAGTCGTTAACGTGTAGCATGCATATTCTTTCCAAATGCGCAAACACAGAGTTCGAAAATAGGCGTGATGCATCTTTGCACATTTGCTGCAAGCAAAATTTGATCAATTAAAGTCCAGTCAGATAATTCAAAGCCTCTTGAAGTTTTTCCAAAGACATGGCTACAAACTCATACACTGTATACTGACCTGATCAAGCCGTACAGCAACGTGTCCGCGAGTGCAAATCTCAAGTTCAATAGAGTTTGCTTTGGTGTTAACTATGGTGGGTGCTCCGTCGGTGAAGGCATAACATTTACCGAATGGACAGGCATCCACTGAGCAGCGGCCACCTCAGCCAATCTCGTTCTTTCTGACCGTCACCGTGTTATACGAATAGGTGATATTCTCTGAGTGATTGGTCCATATCATATATTTCACAAAATTATTTAAAGCTCTTGCAAGCTGAACAATATTTGACATTGGAAATACGACTTGTCGAAAGCAGCAGCAAGCAAAAGGTTTGCTTATTTACACTTTAGGTGTTTAAGCATTACCATTTTCTGATCTGGCTAAGAAGTTGAAGAATGCGAAGCTTAATCCGGTTATTGCCAATGTGAGCGTATCAACTTGCTGTTGTGCCCGATCGCTAATCTTACGAAAAAATAAGACGTTTTCTTGTCATTATCATATTTTGAACCAAAATTGGTAGTGCAGGGCAATAATTATCCTAATAAAATTATCCAATACTTAGTTTGTTATAAAAAAAGATCGCTACGTCGCGAAAACCGCAAACAAAATTATGTCTTATGACCTACGATGTTAACTTCAACTGAATTCCATTCCAATCTTATCTCTATCTAAGTATTAGTAAAGGAAAACAATATAATTTAAAGCATTTTATTCGACTCTCTTTCACCGAATACAACCTTCGCAGTTAATATAAACTGGAATACATCAGTTGTAATGTTTATTGCTCTGTTAAAATCCCGCAAGTAGCTTTAACAAAATACACAGATATCATATAGATAAAAATAACAGCTAGATTCTGAAACAATGAAAAAATAATAAAACCTCGATACACGTGTTCGTGGTTGAAATCAATAAATTAAAATATCTTCCATATGTCGGTGATTACTTCATAGTTAAAATAACCGTAAAAAGCGAATACGCCATCTTGCACACAGCAAAGAAAGAATTCAAGTTAATCTCTACAATACCGCCCGCTAACATAGTGACTGATTTTAAAGCCATCTCTAAGAATATCGTGGTATCCTGGCGGTAATTCCGTGACTGTTCAACCCAATTGCTTGAGAATACGGCATACGGTATATGCTTAAATTCCTGCAGCAGGACGCTACCGTAAAAATAACAGGGAAACATCTCCACGCCAATAGCCAAAAGGAAGCATCCATAGTAGAGGTAGTCATACAAGATCCAGGAATAAAATAAGAAGTTTACCACGACGACGCATGAATTCAAGCCATTAGTAAAAAACAGAATAAATTGCAGCCAAGATATAGAACTCTCCAAG